AGATGTAGTAGGCGCCGACGGACGCGCAGACGACGCCGCAAAAGACGATGGCGCCGATGATGAGGCGGAGGCGCGACGACTTGCGGGGCACTTGGCTATCGTCGTCGACGTCGTTGATCGAGGCAAAGGCGACCGTCGGGTCGTTGGTTGGCGTCGAGACAACGGCAGGTGTCGATGGCAGCATTGTTGGCGTTGGGCTTGTGGGTGACGCAGACAATCGAATGATGAGACTTGGTCGCAGCCGAGCGTTTGGTCTCGGGACTTTGAAGCTCAGAGAAACAGATGGTGGGACGGGCTGAAAGGATACTTGCAGTCGCGCCATATGCTGAAACCGTTGCCGAGGGTATCGTTCAACCCAGGTCTTTGACGCTACGAAGGGTTGAAGCGGGCATGGGCGATTTGGAAGGGTATTGGGAAAGACGCTACCGCAGCTGTTGATGCAACATCGTGGTCGTTGCTATCGTTCGGTTCGACGCCTGTCGGAGGCGCTATCTTTCGGATATAGACGTACGGTACGGTAGCTAGCCATGGCCGTCGTGCTACAGGCACTCCTCGCACTGCTCTCGTTTGCGGTCAGCGAGAGATAGCCGTACTGACTACGTCGACCACGTCCAGGGTCGAGTTTGGTATCCGATCATGCAATGTGGACGACACTGCTCGTGACGCCCCGCGATCTGCACAAACAATGGCGTCATCCACAGGTGGGCAAACTCAGAAACAAGACGAGCTCGAAATTATCAATCTGTACGGTAGTCGCCGAGAGAGAGGAACTTAGGAGCATAGCTGATGCACGTCATGTTTATGGAGGTCGTCTCTGACTCAAGGACCGGTCACGACAGACCTGCTTTACGTCTTGAGACTACACCGCTGCCATTTTACCACTTTGATAACGCGCCATTAGTGCGGTACGAAGTAGAGGCGGACTCGCGACAGGTACATACCGAGTGGTTGAACGGCGAGCCAGCCCAGCAGCTCCATCCACCACGTCTTGTCTGGCATGACCGCGGGCGTGGGTGCGTGTCTTTCTGGCAAATGCAAACGCACCCAAATTCAGCATCGGCTTTATGAGCGTTACCACGATTGTTGAAGGGCCTAACATACGAGCTGCACGTAGCCAACTTTTTAATCATGGTAGCTAATGCTTGCCATGCAATGCGTTCTACGGTTTGACAGCGCAGGCCGACATCACTTCGCGTCAGTAGTGCATCTCCGACAGCAAAATACATGCCCAATGACGTCGTTCCGGGATGTCGCGCTAATGGATGCAATGCCTAGATATAGTTAATCATTGATTCGCGGAAATAATGAGCAACGACAGTACCAACCCGCGACAGATACGGTATGCATACAGTGTACAACATCGTGCGCCGCCTTAAAACAGATGTTTGCAACGGCGTACAACCGCACGAACCGGCCCTTTAAAAATAGGGATACTTTGGCGTGTCATCCAACTGCTCTGACGCGACGCAACGCGTGAATCGTTCCATGACAACAATTCGATAAAAACACAGTCGACGTCTTGTTGTCGCACGCTATCCTGCTATTCAGCGCGCGTGTCCTGCACAGATCTCAGTGCCAAGATAGACGTCCGCGACAGACGTAACGCAAGTCCACCGTGAGTTGTCGTTGCAAAAGTCGGCACCGAACCCTTGATGTGACGATGATCCGATGGGAACCCGAGCACGTCGCTACTTGGTGCAAGCAGCACAGTACCCATGAATCAATCCTGAGCCCCGACCAAGCCCCTCAGCTTGCCGTACCAAACCTCACGAGCGCATTAGGAAGTCCACCATCTTCATTTTATCAAATTCAAAAATATAATTGCATGTTAGTAACTCATTTCAAAAGTACCCATCGAAAAACTCAACCCGCGGCACTCTTTGAGTGCATCGTTGCAGATTCCAGGCCACGAGTCATGCATGGATGACAATGTACCTGGTCTCAGGAGGTTAGTCAGCTCGGTTAGTTTTTCAACCACAACGGACGGTGATGCCAGTGCGTCGATAGTTACTTTCGTCAAAGCAAGTGAGCTGAAGAGCACATTTGGCCTGTGCTGACGCTCGCATCCAATTCATCCATCGGCATTTTATTTCCCATACAATATACACCGAAGAATACCACAATAAATGTACACCGAACGTTACCATAATATTGGCACTTGTGCAGGACGATCGAGTGCCTCTGCACACAGCGTCGTCACTGGCAATCACAGAGTATCCATGTGCAGTTGTGGACGCGCCTCGGACTGCAACGAGAGTGGTACGCATTTCGTGCCTTGTGCCACTCGCTGCCGGTTGCCTCTCGTTGCCACAAATTTTGTTGCCACGGTGGTAGATGTTGGAGGCGCCGACAGGCGTGGGTGTTGGATGCGTCATCGACACGTCGGTATCAGTGACGACAGTGGGTCAAGAGCAAGCGTTCATCAGGCATGGGTGTCTCGAGCCGAGAACCTGCGTCGCCGTATGTCCATGTCTACCAACTGTGAAAAGGGAAAGAGCGTGAGGGCTGAACTATGCTACAAGTAGCTATCTGCGACCAGGTCGTTGTTGACTAGTATGCTAAGTGGAGCATCTTGCGAGCGCGAGATGACACGCAATGCTAGCGCGGTGGCGCAGTGGTGGGACATGATTCAGGACTCAGTAAGATGCTCTTTTAATTGGCTAAAAATAATTCATGACGGGATTTTCATTGGCCAGATAAATGCTTGAAGTTCCACTCTGTGCAAACACAGTGCACACATCGATGGCGCTTGCGTGGCCTTGGCC